AAGAAACTTTAGAAGTATTTCTTGACAGTTGCTGTCAGTCATAGAGAGGGCCACCAAGGTCGATTAAGTGTAAGTGGTTTGATACCTTGTGCTCCCTTTCGGCTCTTTCGGCACGTTCAGTTGCATTCTCCACTTCCTCCTTGAGGGCGGTCATTTTCTGTCGTACTGCTTCCATATTGGCTATAAGAGTGATATTAAGTTGCTGGTATGTGTCGGCATGTATTAGCATGTAAATATAAGCAGTAGAAGCTCCTACTTTACGGTACTTATCCGATCCTTGTCGAAAAATTAGATGTATTTACAAATAGCACGGATGATGGTGCTAATTTATTTACATCTAACTTCTGCTGCCATTAGGGCTTAGGCCCAGTGACCCAGTCTGGGTCGAGGATTAGTGTATCCGTAATTCGCGATAACATGTCCCTCAAAAAAAAAACTGCCAAATAAATTGTAGTGTCTGAGTTTGTCGTTAATATCCTTCCATTTTCAGTAGTAAACGTAGCGGTACAATAAATCCCAGGAATTCTGGGGCCGTGTGTATCAATATATGGTACAAGTATGTATCAATATAAATATGGTTCAATTTCTAAAAGGAAAAAATAGAAACATTCATTCAGATCAGTTGTCGAGAATCTGAGTTTCAAATTAAGTATTTTATTGTGAAATTATGTGTCAACAAAATGTCATGATGTCAAGAACGTATTCATTTTCTGCATATTTACCGTGGCAGTCTGGCAATGGCACTCTCTGCCCTCTGGGCCTCTGGGCCTCTGGACCTCTGGACCTCTGGGCCTCTGGGCCTCTGGGCCTCTGGGCCTCTGGGCCTCTGGGCCTCTGGGCCTCTGGGCCTCTGGGCCTCTGGGCCTCTGGGCCTCTGGGCCTCTGGACCTCTGGCGGCTCTGGGCCTCTGGACCTCTGGCGGCTCTGGGCCTCTGGACCTCTGGCGGCTCTGGGCCTCTGGACCTCTGGCGGCTCTGGGCCTCTGGACCTCTGGCGGCTCTGGGCCTCTAATGGGTCTTGAATTTTGAATTCTTGATCGCCCTGCAGGCTGTGAGTCTGTGACTGTGTCACTGTGAGTATGGACTCGTGTCCGTCTGCCGTCTGGTCACTCTGGTGTCTTTGGTGTGTAAATAATCTGGGACTGGGACTGGGACCGGGATCTGGGAGTCTGAGACTGGGTTGTCGCCTGTCTGGGTCCTGAGAGGCTGAGACTCTCGTGAGTTTGGGACTGGGACTCTGGGAGTCTGATTATTTTTAGTCTCAAGAGTCTGTCGGCTTACGAGTCACGGGCACGGCTGGCCAGTAAAAATTTCTCAAAAAATATAAAGAATATTTGTTTAAATTTTTATATAAAAAGTGAACAAAAATAAATACTGTTCTAAAAATATAAACGCGCCTATTGAAGCCTATTTTAATTTATGAATCAATCCATTTAAATATTTGTAAAATATGAAAATATATATATATATACAATTTGTATATATTTTTAAAAATCCTTTTCATTTTGATGAAAAAAATATATTACAAAAACAAAATGTATGTATTTACAGTACATAAATATGTATATATGTATTTATAAAAAACTGAACGAAAATAAAGCGTATGGTCGGTATTTAAATACATACTATAAATATAAATATAAATAAATACACAGAGTATGAATTCATTTTAAAATAAAATAAAATTAGAACAATCTATTTAGACTAAAAACATATTTATATATGTATGTATTTACTTTAAAAAATATAGTCACAGCCTTCAAAATTGAACAATAAAGCTTAAAGTAAAAAAAAATGCATTTGTTGTTTGTTTATTTTATTTTTAATTGTTCGAAAATACACAGATTGTTCTCGCTAAAAGTTTATATTCGACTCTGTTGTTTGACTCTTATTTAAAGTTAAAAAAGCCTTGCTTCAATTTTCATCAGTAAATACAGTAGTAGACTTTATAGTAGCAGGCTATGGAAAATACTATTTTTTAGTTGTTTAGTTGTTTACATATAAAGCGCACAACCACGTCTTGTACACCTGCACACACTTACCTTCATCATGTCTCGTTTAATTACACTTCTAGCTCTAGCTGTTCTCTGTATATCTAGCGTTTTGGCTGGATCTATCGTCTTGACTGACGAAAACTTTGAAAAAAAAACGCAGGCATCTACTGGTGCAACCACTGGCGATTGGTTCGTCAAGTTTTATGCGCCATGGTATGTCTATTCGTTCACGAACCCGTTGACCTGCCAAAATGTGATACATTAGATCAGCATTGAGTACGTATCTGAATCGCTTGCCTATAAAAGGACGCTTAGATGGCATTGACGCCTCAGGGTTATAAATTTTTAACTGGGCATAAACGTTAACATATTAGTATATGGTTTAAATTGGTTTCCTTTTCTTTTTGCTGCTGTGGGGTTTGTGGCTCTAATAGGTATCGGGATGTGTGTGTCTATGCCAGCAGGCTTTTATTGTTTGCAAAAATAAATAAAGGTTGCTTGTAGTGTTTAACGTTTCTATCTATTGTCTACAAACGAAATTACACTGAAATCATGGGAATTTGTGTCGTTGGTATGATCTATGTGTGTAAGAACAAATGGTGCTTAGACGGTATGTGGGATATGGATTATATCACTGGCTATGGCTTCCAGCGACAGATACCATACCACTAGATCCAAAAAAAATCTTTTTCTAGTAAGTTTTGTCTTGCCAACTTTTAGATGTGACTGTCTTGTCATATATGAAATAGTTGAGTATAATATATATATATATATATATATACACCCACGCACATACACACACACACACACGCACACACGCGCATGTATATGTATTATATATATGTATATGTATATGTATATGTATATATATATATATACATTATTATATGTATATGTATT